ACCTCTTTATGTTCTTCTTCCTCAGATTGCCAACTATGAAATAGATATCACAGACTTTGTTCTATAAATTTGTTAATATGCACTACTAGGTCTTCTTTGAATATCTCAAATATTTGATCTAGAAACTCCATACCTAGATCATCAGTTATTTGTTATCAGCATGGATCTTAGAGCTCTGATACCAACTGATGTAAAGAGAAAATGATAACCAGAATGATTAAAAAAAAAACAAAAGATGAGAGAAAATACCCGTTATCTAGGTCTGCAAGGGAGTCCACTCAAAAAAATCATTTTACAAGATCAACTCATAACTGAATCTCCAATCTCTCTTTTTTTATAATGAGGGACTTTTTCCTTTAAATACACTTAGACAATAAATAAATAAATAAATAAACCCAAAAACATAAACTATATCTCTCTCTCTCTAAAATTCACATGCCACCTTTTCATTCTTTCTTCTCTCTCTAACTCCCACATAAATCTCTATCTCATCAATCTCTTTAAATCTTATTTATCTTCTCTTTCTAAAAAGTAATGAAAAATAATTTCTACTTAACTTAAAATATAAGCTATTTCCTAAACCAAAAGATAGACCTCTGGGTGACAACTCATACCCTACTAAAACTCGCGCATAAAATCCTCCTACCTAACTGTGTTCTTTTAAAGTTTGATTTTTTATTTTCTCTAGTTAGGCATTCCATTCTCTTTTAGCTTCAACTGAAAACTACTTAACATCCGATTATGAAATTTCAATCTAAAAAAATGATACACATCGAGCAGATCTACAAACACATAAAAATCTTGAGAACGGACAGTCTAAATAATATATTACGAGATGTACATTTTTTATGGGCGTGTCTTTTTTCTACAGTTTGAAGTTGTAACCAACCTTGTATAAACCTTTTCTAAACTTATTTAAAAATAAGTGCACAACAAGTAATTGGAAAAAAACTATGATGATCTAAGTCCATTTAGAGTAGTGGGACGAAACATAATAAACCAAATAAAGATCGTCAATTTTTCATAGGGGAAAGTCTTTGTCTTGATGCACTCACGGACAAAAATGAACTAAATCAAGAAACACAGCGTTATGGCAAAGAACCTATCTCCTTTTTAGAGAGAGGGGCAACCCTTGATACTTTACCTAATGGACCACATCAAAATAAAAACAAAGAGAGAAAAAACTCTCAGAACTTTATTCTAGAGAAAAGAAGAACACAAATACAAGAACATATCATCTCACACGCCACCAGGTTCATCATCACGTGGCATTCAAGAAATTGTTTTGAGGTTTGGAGAACTCAAATTCAAATTTTTAAGGACATCAATAACACACTCATAAGGTAAAGAATAGTAATTAGGTTTGTTATTGCGTCTACAACAATCGACATTTTAATGGTTCAGATGAATCATTGCTTATCCAAGGGCCAATAATAAATCTCATTTTTTAAAACTTTTTATTTAAAAATTATATTAATATGAAAATTTTGTTTTAGGTTCATTTTTATAAGATTGACTGAAATTAATAAAGAAAACAATTTAAACAAAAACTTTTGACCGAAACAAATATAAAGGTATTTTGGTCATTATTACTTAAAATATTTTTAATCATTTTTATTTAGTTATATTTATAAAAATATGCCTAAAATTCAAAATTCAGATAAATATATTATTTAAATAAAAAATAAAAAAATAAAATACAAATCTAATTTTCTGTCGTTGGATACGGCCCAACGAAATCTCAACCATTGGAAGGGTGCTTGCGCACCCTACCACCCGTCGCTACAGAATACTTTTCCTAGTAATTAACAATAGTCTAACTTATAAGTGTTTTACGGTCCTCTAGCTACATGATCCATCGCCTAAAAGTTCTATTAACAATTTAAAATTTCCACTTTTCCTTTTTAAATACTCATTTTAA